AGTCTCATGTATGGATAGGCCGGGCCGCCGGGATAGCTTCGCACAAGGTGCTTGATGTATCGTGTGTGATGATTGGAAGGAATTAGGCACTGGCCCGTCTGCCAGCGGTCTGGGTGGGCACATTGCACAATACATAATCATAATTATATTGTAAATAAATGTTAGGACACGGCAATATGCGATCGGCGGCTTAAAACATTAGCTTCCTAGTACTGGCTGAAATACTTCGTATGTAAACTCAGGGTGACTAATTTGGCGTTCATTGTAAAGTTGGTGATGTGCTCCTTCGTTCCTCGTTCAACCGGTTTCTTTAATAAAGTTACAAATTACTACTTGCAAGAACGATAAAGCAAAAAATTGCTTCTGTGTGGCTAGAATATGACCTGTGACTTTCTTATGTCCATTGCCAGACGGTGTTTGGAGAGAGGAATCGGCCTTCATGCGGAATATAGATAGCTGGACTAACTGGATGGCGCCACCCGGTTATTTTCAACCACGTCTGCTCACAAATCTCAGATGGGACCTAGCGCAAACCCAAAATGGAGGCCATTACCTACCAGTTCGCATAAGTAAATCACTCACGCTCTCAGCCTAATGTGGTCACTTGGAGTTTATATTATGTCACTTTATAGCTCAGAATTCAGTTTTTCTTATCGCTTTGCTGTGTACGGCTTCGTCGATCGTGAGTACGTGAGCTGATCAGCTTTGCAGTGCCGGTCTGTTGCATGGCAGGGACTCTAACCGTCTAACGTGTCACTTAACAGCTCAGCCGGCTACGTGCTGAACCGGCTTCATGGTGATTACAAACCAGAATTAATAAACTGCGATCACATGACTGAAAGTACTGTACCAAAACTATGTATCGCAGTTGTCTATTTATTTTCGAGTTAAAGGAACCAATTACTCTTACTTGCATCGTCGCTGCTAAATATCTAGCCAGCCTGCCAAATAAAAAAATTCATTTTTCTGTTGTGATGTAGGCAATGGCCGTGGATATCCTGCAGAATCCCGATTCGATGATAGCGCTCGTCGTGCAATTGATGAAATTAATTTAGCGATGGGCGACTGCTTCTCTTTAAAAATTGTCGATTTTCGTTCGGCAGAAAATGTTCCCATCCTCGATATTGAGGTTTACCGTGCAGGCGAAATTTCGTGTTTCAACGGGTAGGTGCAAATGCTAAAACAAACTTCCAAATTTGTACGATTGGTAGCGATGCGCCAATGTTCATTGCGTTTTGGTCAACAGTGTTTCGAAACTCTGCTTTTCAGAGCGGCATTCAGCGAGAACTTTGGTTACAACCCCGGACAAGAAAATATTATTCGTGTAAATGCTGATGCCTTCGAAGAAGTCGAGGACCGAATAGTTGAAGTCGTGTTTATGCACGAAGTCCTCCACACGGTTTTTAACATTAGGCACGAGCATACGCGCTTGGATCGGTATCAATACATCGAGCCACTAGACGGAAATTTGAAGTGCAATTACGGTAAGCCCATGCATATGTTACAATGGCCAGTTGAGGTAAATCTATGGCTGTATGCGGTCTCATCTTCTTGATTATTTTGATTGAAGCGCAATTTGGCAGCACTTGCTGTTTTTGACAGGTGGTTATCCGCCCATGCACAACGGCTATTACGATCTTGATAAAGATGCTAGCATGGACTTTCCATACGATCTGCACTCTGTTATGCATACAGGCTGGTATGACCACACATCCAGGCGTTTTCTTCACACTGTTGATGTGCAACCCGGCATTCCCCCGGAGTGGGGAATCGGACCTAGAGAACAAGGCCTATCATTTTTTGACGTGCTTAAAATGCGAAAATTTTACTCGTGTCCTCAGAAGCTGAATACCACCCACTTCGAACGTAAGCCGTTTACGTTTTACTATCTTTACTTTGCCATCTTGTTGAATTTTTTCCGACAAAAAAAAATCAACACTTGAATTTATTTCACCAATACTGATAGATGTAACTACGGGTAGACGTCCGATATTCTGCGACAATTTTAACAAACCACTTATAGCAAAAAGCATTACAGTGTGTAATAATTTTGTTTTGGTCGATGCTGCGTGCACGGGGAAGCACGAGCGTTGGCTGCGTGCCCGGAGTTTAGAAATCTTTTGAATTTTACTTTCCAATGATTTGTAATTTTACTGCCTTTTTTTGCACTATATTACCATGCTTTCGGGACATGGGTATCCCACAATCGAGATCGAGTATGTTTGGGTATCCCACAATCGAAATATCAATAATCTGTTTCTGTATACTGTATAAAAGTATAAGACGACATATTTCTGTATACTGTATAAAAGAATAAGAACTACGAAGTATCAAGAGTCCAAAAGAATCATGAACTGGACCTGCTCGCAATGTCTACAATACATATGTGTACCATCTTACTATGGCTATGAATTTGTAGATGAGCCGTCAAAACTTTGATTTTAGGAATACTGCTTCCGAGTTAGACTTTTTTCAACCCTCCCGGCGGCATGCGCAGGAAGGAATCGTGTAATTTTTATGGCGCATATTGCATTAATAGCGCTTGAACGTGCATGTTTTAAAAAATGACTTATTTTAAGTTGCTTTAATGATTCCATAATATTTGGGTATTCAAATATAAAAAATTCAACAAAAAAAATAATAAAAAAAGTATTATTAAAGCGCTCTATCATTAAAAAAATTGGAGAAAAAAATTAACCGTGCACGCCGCTATCGCCTGTGCAGGAACCCCGTGTCTACAGCCATCACCTACGTGAATTCCCAAAGGTCACCCGTGTACCCATCCAACGCCCGTGTGTACCCGTGCACGCAGCCATAATGCTTTGTTTTATTTTTACTAGAAGAAAGAAAGCAAATTTATCTGTGGAACTGGAAAATCCACTGCAATGAAAGCAGCCAACCAGTTAATATATCCTACACCCGAACTGGTCGCAATGCCGCGGACAACATTAGGCTCATCGATCTATGTCTTGAGATCGTCGGGAAGAAGCATGGCCGGCTGGCTAACATAGATCTTTACGCCCAAACCTGTCAAGTTATTTTTCACACGAATGGATGCGTGTACAAGGACCATAGATTTGAAAATGTGGCAATTATCATGAACACCCACCGATACATGCGCACCTTTAATTACAAGACCCTCGGAACACCATCTTATGACGACCTTGTTCCTTTTAGTACCGTGCCAGGTACAGTCTATAATCCTGAGTGCCAGAAATTGTGCCAAATAATGTCAACAGTGTGCGTTGGGGCTACGGTATATACTACCTCTCCAGGCCAACGATTATGTGCCTTGTACCGTCGAATCGATCCTTCTGCTAAGTGGAACAACAACTTCAATGCAGTAACTTATCTCGTATCCGACTGGGACGTCTGGATGAAGCAGCGAGCATATTATCCGATGGTCTAATTTGCAACACTAATCACGGGGTTCAGTTCCCACAATCGAAGTGGTAGTCGCGCCCGCATTAAATGTGTTAACTTAATTCTGCTTTACCCGACAATTATGCTTCCTGGTGCTCGCGTTTTATTTAGTATCGCAAGTTATCTGACAATGTACGATTATATTGCTTTGTTCGCAGCTTTTTCGCACGAGAGTTTCGGCTCTATAGACTACAAAGGATGCCCTGGTTTCCAGTAACTGCGTTTTCCGTGTTTTTATCTTTAGTTATTTATACCATAAAATCTGCTTTAGAATACTCGTATGATCCAGGGACTTTTTAGAGCACGGCCCCCAGTGTCCGGAATTTTTCGAATAAACCGATTGCAGATTCGGAATCAGCAATTTTTCATTGAAAAAAACTGTGTCCCAATAATAAAGGAAGGTCGCCCCAAGGGGGTCCGGCGCCCTACATGAGACTGCCGATTAGGGCGGTCACAATGGCGTCGTGGGGGGAATGCGTTTTTGTGGGTTTAAGTATAGCTTAGCTTTTACGTACTTTTGCTGACCGACAGTCACCGTTTAACCAAAAGATTTTGCTTTCAATGTTCTTATTTCCAAATTTTATGTGCAAAACAGCGACTATCTAAAGTAATAGATTTCGAAATTTCTGTATAGTCAATAAATTGTGATTGTAAGGGATCAAAATGCAATGAAAGAAAATGTGAAATACACGCATAAATTTTACAATTTCTCGAACACTCTATGCCACGGAAAAACGTTGACCAAAAATTTTTTCTCCATTTTAACAAGAAACTCCTTCCTTTTTTAACCATAGGAATTCCTTTCCTCTTTTTAACCTCTCAAAATTCCTTCCTTTGATTTTCCTCTCTCGTTTTGATCCTGGCCGAGATGTGTTGCGCTCTTTTCAATGTTTTTAATCGGTTTTACATTTTCTGGAGGCGGTAGTCGACCTCCGTGTGCACTAAGAATCCGGATTGTTGTAGATGTTAAGCAGAATAAAGAAGCTAGTAACCGAAGCTAACATGGAGCAATGCTGTGTATGTGTTCCCATAATAAGAAGCACTTTGCTCAGCATATCAGTGCCGTGCGCTGTTAAAGTTTTTGTACAGATGAAGTTATGCATTAAACCTAAACAGCACATCGACGGAGAATATGTGCCTTCAGGATACTGAAACACATTCATATCTCGGGCATTAGCTTCGACTGAACTTTTACCGGTAATTTATAACAGCTTCTTATTGGCGATGGTGACCAAGATAAATGGCGAAGAATAATGTTGCCTGCAAAGTTCCGGGTTGATGCTCCTCACAGAATGCGCGCGACTGAAAAACTTCATTGCTTATTTGGAACCAACTGTTTTTTGGCTGTTTACTGTTTACTTCGCATTCAGTTATTGACTTTTGCAACCCTTTTGGATTATTCAAACATTCATAACGGATAAGCAAGGATCTGCCGAGATAGCCTAGCGCATATAAATCATCCAAAATGCCGGCTTCCCGGTTGCGTGAAATCCCTTTTGCATCGTTGCTAATAATAGTTCGTACTCTCTTGCCGGTACTATCAGGCGATTTCGCCGTACGGCGTTTCGACTCGGTGAATCGCGGCTACGGGATATCTGACTCTTATTCCTTCCTTCCCAGTAACCAAGGTCCATGGAACGTTCGTTCTGCCGGCATGCGACTCGCGCTGGTTGTACTGCGCCTGTGGGAAGCCGGTGTACAACGTCAGTGCGATTCCCGTCGAACAGTCGTACCTGTATCTGGGCACCGAGACAGCGGTAACTGTCTTCGATCAATGCTATTCCAGTTGCTTGCTACCCGCGTTCGATCCGCTTCCGCCGCTTCCCAACACCCCCGAGATTCGCCTGAGCAATATCTGGGTGGCACCCAACGATCTCCCGTATCCCGTGGGCCGATTCCTGGTTAATGTCAAGAAGACGGTGAAGAAACTGTGGCTGTTGAAAATCTATCTGCCCTCACTAACACGGGATACGTTCGCGGGATTCTCGGCTCTCAAGACAATCCGACTGGAGCGCAATCGGATGTCCGCCATTGCTTTAGACTCCTTAGAAGCATTTGTACCGCCACCGGGAACTGCTGCGCCGTCTAGACTCGAGGAGTTCTTCCTAACCGACAACAATTTGGAGCAGTTTGATTGGTCGGTGATGATGCCGCTGGCTGACACTATCAAGGTACCCAGCAAATAGGAACTACACCAAGTAGCCGCCGAATTGCTAATGATCCTTTAATCGATAAACTGCATTTTTGCAGCACGTTTCCGTGATGATGTGTGGCGTTCGTCAGATCCAACTGAGCCGGTTCTTCAGCATGCGCCGCATCGAATCTGTCAATCTGGCGGGTAACAACCTGACAACCGTGGACAGTCGCTTCCTCGATAGTCTAACGCAATCGCATGGCCGACCCGGCTTGAGTCTGCAGTACAATCCGGTGTGTACGAGTGACATCCGGTGCCGTTGTGCGTCGTTATTAAACCTGTGGAACTGGCTCATCAACGCGTCAACGCCGGTCACGGAATTTGAGCCAGGTGTCATGATTCACTGGCAAATCATGGACGGTGTGACATGCGGTAATTACACCGATGCACACGGGGGAAGTCTGTATAACCGCTTTCAAGTCGGAAAGGATGATGGATCCGGCAGGACGTACACGGGTCGGGAAATCCAGTTACTGGCACGGTGGTGGCTAGATGACGGGAAATATTCAACCAACTTATTTAACACACTATGATATACATAGAGTGCGTGTATACATAGAGTACTGCGTATGTATAGATTATACGAATGATGTGGGTCTCTTCTTTTCTGGACTTACTGTTCTCATCTAACTCGTGTTCGCTGATTTTTTTAGCGATTCTAGTTGCAGGGTCTGTTCTTTATTCCAACAGATCTTCGCAAAATTTTGAAGAATGTGAAGCTGGCTTCTACTGCAGAGTCGGTGTTTCGGACTTTCAGGTACCAGCGAAAGTAGAAGTTGCAGTGTATGAACGCTCAGGCTGCCCAGAGTCTATTAATTTTCCACCTGGTGCGTACGGCTGCTGCGGCGACTTCCGCATAGCATTTTTGCAAATAAGCCAAAGCAGGGCAGATTTTGCAGTGATTTTACGAGCGCTGCTATAATATTGTGAATGAAATTTCCAAAAATTCCGTGTCTTCACCAGTAATATAAGACCGCTTTTGAATGGTTACAGAAACTGCAAGTTACAGTTACGCTTAGCGCTGTGTAAAAGACTAAAAGGTGACGATTTTTGTTTAGCAAATGCCACCAACATAACAGTCAACAGCCTTCGCGGTCACACTACCAACAAGTAAAAATGATTCTTATTGTATAATATACTGTACAGATACAGTGTAGAGTATACGCCCTTGTTGTTGTTAGTTAAGGATTGACCTACTTCGTTTTCAAATAATTTAATATCGGAAATCTGGACTTACTCACTGCTGGAGACCGATTTAAAATTGAGCACCTTCGAAACTTCGAAAGCAATTATTATGCAAAAATAAGATGTACGAGTATACACAGTACCGAGGCATTGCGTAAGCTTAAGGTGCGTAAGGCATACACGTAAGTCTATGGGCGACACAGTACACCGTCTCCACAGGGTGCCACAGGGTGTCTCCAGAGGCCGGCCTCCGGTCTTGACTGTGCAAGTAGACGGGCTTTATCTGTATTAACTCCATCCTCCCGATAATCTTCCAGCAGCGAAGACAAAGGCGGGCTGCACAGCGGCATATCCCAGGTCTTTTATTTCTTGCGGAAATTTGGTTCCGGCAGTACGGATTAGCGGGCGTTCTTTTTTCATAACTCAAGAGCGCCAAGACAATCAACGGCAGCATGACCAGGGAGCAGCAAGGACACCATATCGGTTACGGAGTGAATCGAGACCAAACTTAAGAAAACGAAAACCTGGAAACCTAAGAACCCAAGAAACCTAAGAAACCTAAAAAAGCCTAATTAACAATAAAAAACTCACAACAACCCAGGAACCTTTAAGTAAACCAAGCATAGCCAAAGAAACCTAAGAAACTGTCGTTATTGGGCTGAATCAGAGTTTTGGTGGTCAAAGAAGAAGACTTTGAGCGGTCACAGGCAGAGTCCTGGCCGTCAGACCCAGACATTAAGTGGTCAGAGTCAGACTTTGAGCAGTCAGAGTCAGAGTTTGAGTGGTCAGAATCAGAGTCAGAGGTTGAGCATGGGCCCCGACTGTATGCCACACAACTCGAAAACGATATGCGCATTTTGAGCGATGTGATGTACGAGTCTACCTTGTGGATAACTCGAGAAAGCACGGGTAAACTGAGCGGGATGGCAGTCTGTTTCGTCCAAAATTTGAAGAGCATTAGTTCATAATGAGACTATTGGTACACCTCCGCGCGTTTAAACTTTTGGAATTTTATTTCACCAATAACCCCAAAACGGATGTTGCGGGCACAAACGGTTTTTTCGCCTATGTATACGAATCCTTTGGCTAAAAAATATCAATGAAGCAAAGCAAAAAAGGGTTTGGGAATGCGCGACAGCGAAAGTTGTCGTGGATGTATATGAATTTTGTGCTATGTACCGGGCCAAATCCCTTAAGTAATGTTGAAATTAAGCTTATTTAAAACTGGCAGCTGTAAAACGGTCACCGGCACGGCATAAAAAAAGAACAGCTGCAAGCTATTTGACAAACCACAGCACAGTACACTAACGCCAGCTTGTAGACGGCGCTGCGCCGCAAAAGAGTAGAACAGTTATACAGTATTACAGCGAATGTGTATTTTACCAGTGCCACTTGACTACTATAAGAGGCAAAAGCAGGCATCTTCCACCGTTCCCCTGTACTGTTGCCGTCACCCGGCTGGAGTCTGACGTAGTGGCTGAACAAGGCGCTTATGTACCGCGCCAGATTTAACCATATGTATTCCCGTAACGTCACACTCCAGGCGGGGAGACGGCAGCAGTACAGGGGAACGGTGGAACGTGTTTACTTTCGCCCCTTATATTCTCAGGACATAGTAGTAGGTACTAGGTGCCCATAGCGAAAGTGGAAAGTTCTCATCAAATGTATTTCTCGAAGAAAAGCGTGTTTCGTATAATACACAATTCGCGAGAATAATTATTATTATTATTATTATTACATCAAGAGCAGACAACCCGCTAAACGGGACTTCAACGTCTGGTCGGCAACAAAATATAACTAAACAAAAACAATTTTAAGACAGATCAACAGTTCGGAGAGCAAATTTAAAAAATCCCACACCATCAACACTGAGTATCTGCATGTTAACTTTTTTTGTGCGCTCAAAGATGTTCCTTAGTCGCATGGCCAGTGTGCCTTCTCCGATCTTCTTCTTCGCTCTGGCTGCAATTCTCGTTGGGTTCCGCAGGTTGTACAGCATTCCCAGATCCGTGAAGTCGATCATCCCGACCATATACCGCGGCGGATGGTATGCTTCGTGGGTGTAGATCTTATACAGCCAGACCGCTTCAGACTGCTTCCTCAATATGCGGTTTCATTGAACAGTCAGAGTGTTCGGCTAGTCGCAAAGTATACAGACAGTATGACAGAACAACTATCAACTGTAGAAAGTGTGTTTCAGCATAATACTTGCTGTTAGCTAATGCACATTACTTTTATAATAGTTCTACTGTATATAGCGCCTGTCATACATTCAGAATGTGTTCGAAATAAAGTTGTATTCAGTGCACAGTAAAGTATACTCCCAACTTGAATTACTTGTGTTTTCCCTAGTAGATTAAACAATAACACCCAGTTTTTTATGCATATACTAGCGTCGAAGGTTGTTACACTTTCAGCAGCATATTTCTATTCGGCATATTTCTTGGCTACACGTAGCTCAAATAGATGGTTTTCTCGCTTACTACTGCAGATGTGTTTAATTACCGATGGCTGCGGCGACTAATTTTGCAACCGTTTTTGTTTTGTGTTCGAAATCAGTTGGCTAATGTTGCTTTTCGCATTTCAATTAAAAACTGTGTTTCCTCGGATGTCAATCAGTATCATACATGAAGAAAATCCTGCCGGCGTTTCGATAGCGTACCGCGATTTTGGAAAACGACATGCATGTACAATTAAATTAAATACAGTACATAAAATTGGAACTAAATAATAAACTGCAATAACCAAACAAATGATTCGTCAAACAAATGCAGAAATACGCTTATAAAGTACATTGTTTATGCGATTTTACCACACGACGCGTGGTATACAAAAATTTTATCAATTAACAGTAATAGTCAAAATTAATAATATACAGCGTCTCTGACTGATGATACTATGCGCAATGTTCAAGTGGCAAAGCATTTATCCCATCTTTCAGACCGGTTAGCCGGTTAGGCCGCTGTAAGCGGGATATTAATTTTGAGAAACGTAAGCTTGAGCGTGAAAGAGACAAGTGCCAGATAGACTGCGCAGTGCACACTCGACAGTGTAGAGCAGATTAAATCTAGCCCTTACTGTGCGCCGCGCTTACAGCGGTCTAAATGTTTGACAACGGGCTTCTACTACACACAGTATACAGTAAACTGTGAAAATTATGAAGTTTACTAACGTTGTTGTCATGCTGAGTTTGACGTGGATCTCTCTGGAATCCGAAGAAGAAGATAAATGCTCCATTAGTATCTAAAGTTTGGATACTAATGGATCCATTAGTAACCGTTGCCCGGAGAAAGGTCAGCGATATAAAATACTCCGGAGCATTTCGTATCAGTGACCTTATTCCAAGGCAGTGGAACTGATACTTGGATGTGGGGATTAGCTGTCCTAGAGGACCTTAAGACACTGAAGCAGGACACGGCAGACCACACGGGGCTGCGGAACCGTTTTAAATGACAAGGAATACTCGCCTGCCTGCTTGTGAGACAGCATTCCCCATTTGTTTTCGGATTGTTTGTTTACTGTTGTCCCAGAAAACAGAAGCCCGCTTGGATTAAGAAGTTGAAGGTTTGTTCTTGGCTTATATTGTATGACTGTTCGGTGTTCTTCTTAAACATTTTGCCAAACATTATGTACTCGGTCACTGCGGGGTTGTGCGAGGGTGGTTTCATAAAGGGTGATCATCAGTGGGAAGCAAAATTCATAAAACTGTGTTATAGCGGCTCATAAGGGCGTGCTTAGCTGCCGGAAATCGGATTTCGTAATAATATTGCTACAGTGTGTTTCAATACAAAGACAACAACATATAGCTGAAAAGATGGAATTAAAAATAAGGGGGGATTTAAAGATCGGCGGGGCGTGTTACTGTAGAATCAAGGGACGGTGAAGAAGCTGCTGCAGAAATCGACGACTGCAAAGAGGGCGGCTTGCGAGGAAAAGCAGAAGCGTAAGTAGATGATCCGCTACAGCCAGAACGCGTTTAGAAATATGTTAGCAAATTAATCTTAAAAAAATAAACCCAAATAAAGGACTCTCTTATATTATTATTTTAATTTTTATTAATAAAGAAAATTTCCTTAGTCTTGTTGCACAGTTCAACTGTTGGTGTGGATATATCTGGAACAGTGAATTTAAGTTACTGCCTTATTATTATCCTAATTTTAATATTAGTGAAACTTTTAATTGGGCTGTAACCGCTGTATTAAAAATTTTCCTTACATATCTGTGTGGGTATTTTGTGAGTAATAATAAATGTGTGTTTGCATTGCAGCCCCCCCCCCGCTCATACGTTTGCGCGCCGTGCCCGGCTGCGGGGAACCGCGCAAGTACGCTGCACAAAGACTACACGAATAGCATCCACCAATTAAATAACATTTATTTAGTTTTTAGCAGACTACAGTAGTTTGCATCGTTTATATAACGAGCTAGGATTGTTGTTAACATAGCTAATTGAAGTTATTAAAATTAAAGTCAAGTACCTATTCTTAATGCAAATAAACGCAATTTTTGATGAAGAACAACCGTGATTAATTATAATTCCCGATGCGTTTCGATATTCTTTCCAACGCACATCAGCATTCATACTTATTCAGAATGGCATGGATACAGTATTCAGTACCGTGGAAAAGACCGAGAACGTGCGACATGCAGTTATCGTCGCACCGGTACTGCCTGTTTGGATCCATAGACC